AGTCTTTTTGTCTGGGAAGCTCTTTATTTGATGGTGTATTTTGAAGGATAGCCTTGCTGGATGTAGTAATCTTGGTCTCAGATCCTTGCTTTCCATTACCTTGAGTACTTCATGCCATTCCCTTCTGGCCTGTAGAGTTTCTGATGAGAAATCAGGTGTCAGCCTTATGGGAACTCCTTTGTAGGTAACAGTTTTCTTTTCTCTCTCTTTTTTAAAAATATATTTTATTGATTTTTTACAGAGAGGAAGGGAGAGGGATAGCGAGTAAGAAACATCGATCAGCTGCCTCCTGCACACTCCCTACTGGGTATGTGCCCACAACCAAGGTACATGCCCTTGGCCAGAATCGAACCTGGGACCCTTGAGTCCGCAGGCCGACGCTCTATCTACTGAGCCAAACCGGTTAGGGCAGTTTTCTTTTCTCTTACTGCCATTAAGATTCTCTCTTTGTCTTTAATTTTTGGCATTTTAATTATGATGTGTCTGGGTGTGGGCCTGTTTGGGTTCTTCTTGTTTGGGGTTCTCTGTACCTTTTGAACTTGTGTGACTTTTTCCTTTACCAGGTTAGGGAAGTTTTCTGCCATTATTTCTTCAAACACCTTCTCTATGCCTTTCTCCCTTTCTGCCTCTTCTGGCATACCTGCTATTCTAATATTGTTACATTTCACATTGTCCCACAGCTCCCTTAAGCTGTCCTCCTGTTTTTTAATTGTTTTTTCTTTTAGGTTCTCTGATTAAGTGATATTTTTCACTCTGTCTTTTAATTCACTGATTTGATCCTCAGCTTCCCCTAATCTGCTGTGTATTCCTTCCAATGTGTTCTTTATTTGTGTTATGTCATTCTTTATCTCAGACTGTTCTTTTTTCATAGTTACTATATCTTTTTTCATGCTGTTGAGCATTTTTTACCATCATTACTCTGAGCTCTGATTCAGATAAATTTCTTATGTCTGCTTCAATTAGCTCTTCTTCTGGAGAATTCACTAGTTCTTTCATTTGGGGGTTGTTTCTTTGTTTCCTCATTTTGGTTGTCTGTTGTGTTTGTGACTATGTATTAGGTCAGTGGTTCTCAACCTTCCTAATGCCACGACCTTTTAATACAGTTCCTCATGTTGTGGTGACCCCCAATTTTAGCAACCATAAAATTATTTTCGTTGCTACTTCATAACTGTAATTTTGCTACTGTTATGAATCATGATGTAAATATCTGATATGCAGGATGTATTTAGGCAACCCCTGTGAAAGGGTCGTTCGACCCCCAAAGGGGTCGCGACCCACAGATTGAGAACCACTGTATTAGGCAGCTACTCTACACCTCTCAATCTCTAGTATAGGACAGTGTTAAAGGCTGTTTCTGACTAATTAGATCAGGCATAGACTTAAAGCCTCCAGAGACCACCTCTGCCTACAGACTGATAGGATTCCAATTTGAATTACCACCCAGGTGGTCATCCTCAGGTGTGGCGAGAGTTGATTTCAACAGGGTGGGGCAGTTGCTTCTGCCTAGCTACTAATTATTTTTAATCTTTTAAATGGCCTTAGGGCAAGGTGTTTTCCAATAGGGTGTGTCAACTGTCTTCCCCCCAGGCAAGGCAAATGTCTATGTGGGAAAGATGTCCAGGAAACTTGGGATGTCTGCCTTCTGAGCTCTATCCCCTGAGTCTCCAGTCCTGGCTTCTGCTCTCACAGCTCCTGTCTACTTTACCCTCCCTCTGCCAGAGCACAAGGTGGGTGGTTCCACAGGGAATTTTGTGTGTTGGCCCTTTAAGGGGGTGCCTGAATTTTCAGCTGTTACTCCCTGGCAGACAGCACCCCGCTGCTTTTCATAGCCAGATGTTATGTGGGTACCCTTCTCAGTTTTGGTGCTCTCTGCTGGGGGGCTCAGCTTGGAGATTAGATCCCAGAGTTCTCAATGGCAACCCCCCACAGCTGAGATATCTCTCCAGGACTTCAGTTGCTGACTGTGGGTGCCCGGCCAGCCCTTTCGTGCCTCCGCCCCTCCTACTAGTCTCTATGTGGTCTCCACTTTTAGTTCTCAGGTATCAGGGTTCTCTCCTGTGAGTTTTCTGTTGATTGTTCAGAATGTTTTTCTGTATTTTAGTCGTAATATCAGTTTGTTCCTGGGAGCATGTTCATGCAGCATCCACTTACTCTGCGGCCATTTTTAATCTCTCCTCATTTTCTATAATGACATCAAAATAGTCACAGTCAGCCCTACCTGGTTTGGCTCAGTGGATAGAATTTTGGTCTATGGACTGAAGAGTCCTGGGTTTGGTTCTGGTCAAGGGCACATGCCTGGGTTGCTGGCTTGATCCTCAGTGGGGGGCATGCAGAAGGTAGCCAATCAATGATTCTCTTTCATCATTGATGTTTCTATCTCTCTCTCCCTCCCTTCCTCTCTGAAATCAATAAAAATGTATTTAAAAAAAATAGTCACACAGTTTTAAGATTCAAAGCTCATCTTCACTTCTTCCTTATTTTTCTTCTGTATCTAATTATGCAGCTAATCCTATTAATTCTTCCTTGACAGCATCTCTGTTCCCACTGCTACTTCCTTCTGTCCCTTGGGCCCAGATTACTCTAATAATATTCTAACAGATTTCCCATCTCTGCCAGTTTAATCTGACTTCTATAACCAACACCAAGATAACTTTTCTAAAACATAACTTTTAACTTCTTTCTCTCTCTCTCCTGTGCAAAATGTTACAATGGCTTCCCATTACCTATTGAATAAGAAGAACACCTTATATTGAGCACTTACTTACATAGGTTCCCAGGCACTAAATAAGAACTCTACAACCACCTCCTTGTCCTCTATTACCATAATATTCATATGGATGAGGAAACTGAGGCTCAAGATAAGTTGCTTGCCTAAGGTTGCACATGTAATAAGTTACAGAACTGTGGATTTGACTCAGTTCTGTTTTGCTCCAAAGCCTGTGTTTCTAACAACTGTGC